TCTCTTCTCCATGTAAGCGTCAGACTGTCGGCCTGAGCCCGTGGAGAGGGTCAGCCAGCACCCGCCGCTCTCAAACACCCTCATGGGAACTGTCCTGACACACACACACACACACACACCGGCCTTCGACTGCAAATAATCCACTGGAAGAAGCCCTCGACGGGAACACAAATCCTGCCCTGATGCCTGGAGTCCTCAGTCCTCAATGAGGAGACAGACGGAGTGTGTGTCAGCTCTCAGTGAGGAGACAGACGGAGTGTGTGTGGCTCGGCCTCACCGAGGAGAATGAGCCGATGAGTTCAGGAAGGCCAGTGCAAAGCTAGAGGGGGAGGAGCCACTGCAATCTAATTAATATGCAAATCCCACACTCATTTCCTTCAACAGAGGCTGTTTACCAAGTCAACCACGAGTGCAAATCACTGCTGACCTGCATTGTCTGCTCGTGCATTTTTACTGCCTTGGTCCCCAAAACGCCCATTTGTTTCTCCCAGCATGCTCTGCTTATTTTCTTTAAACCACAAAGACTAGTGCTCTGCCATGCTGTTTACTGCAGATACACAGGCAGATGGTTTTTAAGGGGCTGTTCACACACTTATATTTGTATCATTAGTCTACTTGCACAGAGAGTTTTTTATTGTAAAGTAAATAATAAATATAATTATTTGAAAATTGCATTTACACAAATAATTATAATTATTATTATTATTATAAATACAAAGGTATTATTATTTGTGTACATATGCTTCATTATTATAATAAAAAATAACTCTGGGAATAATACTATTATTAGTAGTGGTAGTATTAGTATTTTTTAAATGCAATTATAATACACATTTATATTCAAATGTACATTATTATTATTTTGTGATTAATATAATATTAACATTGATATTAATAATAGTGATATTACTACTAATACTATTTGATACTGAATAAAATAAAATAAATATAATTATAAGCCACGTTTCTATGCGTCCCAGGACTGTTTGCTGGGTCTAGATAGATAGATAGAACGAGAGATAGAACGAACGATTGATAGATAAGCTATAAGAGAGTGTGTGTGTGTGTGTGCGCACAGCTCTGAGTTTTAAGCCAATCATAGGCTTAATCAGCAGGAGATCCTGCAAAGCTGTCGTCCACTCAGGACCCAAAGACGGACCCCGAACACACTCTCATCCCGAACCCGAGAGTCCGACACTGTCCCGGCCAACAACACCGGAAACACCAGAACGATCGCATTCACAATCCAACACACTTACAGCGACTGCTAACACACACACACACACACTGGAGAGCAATTAAACCAACATTTCCAGATATTTCTAAACAAAACTAGATTAAACAGGTTTTCATTCAGAGATGACGACTGGATGACACTTCAACAAGACGCACGGGTGGTTAAATGACCCAGCACTAACCGTGACACGACACACACTCTGCTGGGCGCACCCCCTCTTTAAAACCCCAAACACAGAGAGAGTGAGACAAAGAGCATGCTGGGAAGGGAGGGCTGCCGTTTTCTTCCTATACAAACCCTTCACATCCGGCCTCACATTCTCACAAAAGACAGAGCCCAGCAGGACCGACACACACTTCACTCACGCATGAATGAACACAGCGCACAGACGTGTGTGTGTGTGTGTGAGAGCACACCGAGTGTTTCCTTTGTGAAAATCCCCAGAGATCAAGACAACATATTATCAAGAGACACTGCAAAACATCAGAGTACAGATTACACATCTAATCCATATATATATACTGGATATATAATATTATAATAATTAATGTATTTAAAATATAGTGATAAATACATAAATAAAATCATAATATATTTCATAAGAATATTATGTAAAAAATAATACATTTTAAACACTAAATACTAATATATGTTATAAAAATTGAAATTTCATAATGTAAAAAACTCAATCTATTTTATATTAAACAATCATTTACATAACATTAAAAAAAAATAAAGTCTAAATAATTAAATGACATTCCATTTATATCAAAATATAATATATAAAATCTAAAAAATTGAAAATAGATACAATTATATATATATATATATATAGAAAACATTGAAGTAATCATGTATTTTATATTATAATAATTTATTATTATTTATTAATAAATAATAATAATAATTGTATATTTTATTATATATAATTTACATAACATTAAAAAAATTAAATCTAAATAATAAAATATATTTATATTAATATATGTATTTTTTATAAAATAGCCTATAATCAAAACATCTATAAATAGAAAATAGTAAAATTATACATATTAGGGCTGTCAAACAATTAATCGCGATTAATCGCATCCAAAATAAAAGTTTGTGTTTACATAATATATGTGTGTGTGCTGTGTATAATAATTTTGTATATATAAATACATATGCATGCATGTATATATTTAAGAATTATTTGCACGTAAATACTGTGTGTGTATATATATAAATACATAATCTATATCATATATAAATATAAATATTTTATATATGAATTACACATTTTCTTAAATATATAAATGCATATATACAAAATAATTATACAAAGCACACACAAATATATTATGTAAACAAACTTTTATTCTGGATGTGATTTATCGCAATTATAAAAGTTCAAACTTTTCACTTCAAAGTAAATTCAATATATCAAAGACACTTTTCATCAGACCGCAGTAGTGTGCCGTGAACGGTAGACTAGCAGCGGATGCAGTAAAGCACATCTGTGGAGTAATTAAACAGCGTGTTCATGATCGGGGAACATCTGCATCTTCAGTCTGACTCAGTGACACGCAACACAACACTGACACGCGGAGCAAACGTGACTCTGCAAACATCTCTCGCTCAATCTACACTGTGTATCGATCCTGTCTGGCCGACTTTCAGAACTCTATTACAGCACTATTGATCGCTTATGATTAATCGCTTGTGCTGAAGTATTCATAACGTCTGCTAAATTAAATAAATGCTCAACTCTGACATCAGAAAATATGCAGAATTGATCTGCTACACACAACAACTCAGGCCAGACCTCTGAATTAAACGAGGAACTCATCTTAAACGCATCCTTCACGGATTAAAGGTGCAGTGTGTGATTTTTAGCGGCATCTAGTGGTGAGGATGCGAATTGCAACCAACAGAAGTTACGGTGGCCGACAGGAAGTGATGTCGTCTGAGACAGCAGAGAGGAGCCAGGTAATCTTTAGCAGGAATTAGGTTTATATGTTATTGCGAATATTATTGTTACCTGTTCATTATTGTGTCAGTGTTTTATTCGCTGACTTCAGCAGCTTCTTTGCACGAAGAACAACATAGTGACGAAACGCGTTTGTCCACTCAGGGCGATGTCGATGTGTGTAGATAATGGCTCATTCTAAGGTTATAAAAACATTACGGTTCATAATGCAAGGTCTTTATACACCACTGAAATCAATTATGTAGGCTATATAACATTGCATTTCTGTAAATATTACACACTGCACCTTTAACTCAATTATATTAAACACGTTCTGCTTCATGCATTAATTATATTCCAAATCCAGTATTCCCGCAGAGAAACACTGTTGATTAGGGGACCGTGGCTCCGTCATGAGAATCTGCCGGCGAGCGCAGAGATGAATATTAATATCGGAGACACTGTCAGCACAAGCGTTAGTGACTCTTCGGGTCATTTCCTCTCGTTACCACGTCAAACGAACCTCAGCGAGACCCCAAACTAATGAATCCAGACCTCAGCGCCCCAACAATTATGAACACACACACAAATATGTGCAACAACAACAAAAAAAGAAAATACAAAAGGACCAAAATAAAGAGTATGTTTCTATTTTTTTTTTACATTTATAATGTACGCCACTTACAAAATACTTAGGGTGTATATACATATACATAGAAAACAAACTGATTTTCAGGCTTAATTCCCAGTGGAGTGAAAAATAAACATGTTTAACAAAAAAAATCATTAAATTTTGTATGAAAAAAGTTAAAGTTAAATTAAATTTTGCTTATCAACTTCAAGTGCAACCACAATGTTTTAAGGATCTCAAATTAGATATAATGGAAATTACCAAAAAAATACTAATAAAGGTCACACTTCACATTTAACAAAGAATTAAAAATGAGCAATATGTTTTGCAGAGTTGATTTGCATACACACACACATATGTATATATTATTTTAATAAATCATTTATATAAAATATAGCATATAAATAAAATATATGAACTATATATATATATATATATATATATATTAAAATATAATATAAAAAATATTATAATTTATATTGCTTTGAATACAATATATTAAAAAAAATAATAAAATACAATAAAATTGTAATGTGCAGTAAACGAGAATTACTATAGCCATGACACATCGGGTCATTTCCTCTCGTTACCACGTCAAACGAACCTCAGCGAGACCCCAAACTAATGAATCCAGACCTCAGCGCCCCAACAATCATGAACACACACACAAATATGTGCAAATGGGCAACACTTCTCATTTAACAATGAATTAACAATGAGAAATACATTCTTTAGAATTTATTAATCTGGGATAATGTTCGTTTGTTTACAGTGCATTGACTAATGTTAACACAACCTTTGATTTCATGTATTATGTGTTGAAATTAACATTAAGATTAATAAATGCTGTATTCATGACACATAATTGACTCATGCAAATAATTCTTAAGTCACCAGAAAATGTTTGTTCGCAGTGAACGGCACAAATTTTATTTTCAAAGGGACAAAAAAGCCATTATTGATAGTAATTAATTTTTTTTTTAATTCGTTTACTCTTCTGACTCACTGAACCACACTGAGGTCAACGCCCTCGTCTCTTCCTCTGAAGACACATGATGTAGACTTCACACATCTCAGAGATTTAGTCTGTGTTGCTTGACTAAAAACATGTAGAGAGAGAGAGAGAGAGAGAGAGAGAGAGAGAGAGAGAGAGAGAGAGAGAGAGATTCTGATAATGCACTCACCTGTGTAAAATGAAATTCTGGAAATGTCTGTGGAAAGAAAGAGAGAGAGAAGGAAGATCAGGCCAGGTCACATGTGTTTTGTCATCTCAGCAAATCGAGCAGAGCTTGTGGTTTAATAGGTCATCTGTAATCTCAGGGGATGGAGAAGCGTGATCCACAGCGCCACCTGTCTGCGGGGACGAGCACTGCGTATATGGGACAAAACCACAGCCAAGACCCCCAGGAACCAGCACATGTTCAACACACTGAGAACACGACGAGGAAACAACTCAGCTTTCTGCATCAACTCATCTCAGATGTTTCAATTAAAGATCCTCAATCAGAAACCTCACAAACGAGTGAGAATAGAGAAGAGTAGTTCACTTTAAAAAAACTTTTGCTGTTAATTTACTCACCCCCATGTCATCCAAGATGTCCATGTCTTTCTTTCTTCAGTCGAAAAGAAATTAAGGTTTTTGATGAAAACATTCCAGGATTTTCTCCATATAATGGACTTCAATGGGAACCAAACGGTTCAAGGACCAAAAGACAATTTCAGTGCAAAGTTCAGTGCGAGTCATTTGGCTCATTCAACAAACAAAATGAATGAATTAACTCGGAAAAAGATTTGTTCATTTTGATAAACGAGTTTGAACAGGAGAGTCACGAACGCGCATCACAGAACAGAGCAAGGCGAGCATTTGAGCTTATAAAACTTAAACTTTGTTATTTATTTTTTAAATGAGCGATCGTTTCGCTTGATAAGACCCTTATTCATCGTCTGGAATCGGTTAAAGCCCTTTGAACAGTTTGCAATTTGCACTGAAACTGTCTTTTGGACCTTGAACCGTTTGGACCCCATTGAAGTCCATTATATGGAGAAAAATCCTGGAATGTTTTCATCAAAAACCTTCATTTCTTTTCGACTGAAGAAAGAAAGACATGGACATCTTGGATGACATGGGGGTGAGTAAATTATCAGCAAAAGTTTTTTGTAAAGTGAACCACTCCTTTAAGGAGTTTATACTCAAACCTTTGATTGTAGACTTGGTTTGGTGTATTGACTAGTGATCGACCGATATATCGGCCGGCCGATATATCGGGCCGATATTTGAAGTTTTTACGTGTATCGGAATCGGCCGATATACCTCTGCGCGTTCGCCGATAATTTTTTTCCCCCGGCGTTATTTATAGACAGGCGGCCACGGGCAGCTCTGTGCTGGTAGAGACGCTGCAGTTCACGTGCCGCGCCCTCCCCCACTAGCAGAGTGCAACCTGCTCTTCACGAGAATGGTAACTTAAACTTTCAAAGGATCTTTTAAATGTTTGACTGCTGAAATATTGTCAAACACTTTGAAAATGGAAACACGTCGCCCTATAACTGTTATGTGCTTGCAACTAAGCAAAGTTTGTGGGTCCAAATGGAAAACGTGAATGCCTCGTCTATAAAACTTAACTGCTTGCCATTGTATTAGGGAGCTGCAAATAGCTAAGGTGTTAGGCTATCCGTTCAGTATGCATTAGGACTGTCTATGAAATATTCTACATTCGAATATCTATACATTTTGAAGGTGAAAATTAATATTTGAATGTGGAAAAACACGCCCGCGGTTGCAGACTAATAACGTTACCACAGCTGCACAGCTCGCTCGGAGCGCTCACTGTCGGTTATATACTGTGAAACTTCAATCACTGAATGAAGCCTGCTATATTTGGGACACGAGTCGCGACTCGCAACCTTAAATTGCTTGCACAAAACTCTTGATCAGCACTCAACATTTGTTTGTTGTTCATTTAACCGACGCGCAGAGACCGTGAGGGTGAGAGAGAGAGAGAGAGAGAGAGAGAGAGAGTGCCTGAGCAAGTCCGGGCGAGACAGAGTGAGCTCTGCGGTCTTGGCCATTAGTTGATTTAGTTTGCTTTTTAATACGTTGTCAAATATGTTTAAACTCAAATAAACTATCTAATACTAGTAGTTATGTCTCTTTGTATTAATGTGTCCTGTTATTGACGTAATGTGCGTCAACAACAAAACGCGCTACGGGATGTTCGAATATGTTTTTTAGAGGGAATATGCAAACGCCATTTGAGTAATTTTGACAGCCCTAGTATGCATACGGGTGCTGTAACGAACACTGGTCATAGGATTAAGGAATGCCAACGTTGTTCAGTGTTTTTTGTGGGAGATACATTCAGCGCCCACCTGGCTGAGGTTTAGACGGCGCGTGTGGTGTGTCTCCCTCGCCATCGGAGTGATATAAAGAGACTAGACATGCTCATTTTATTTTATGTAGAAAAATTGAAACCATGCAGTACATAGTTCGTTTCTTTTAAAATGAAGTACAGTGTGCACTGTGCACTTTATTATGCTGGTTGCTACTGTGTGCAATAGTGTAATTATTTGTAATTTATGCTTAAATATTTATTTTCAGCACTGAACTTTTTTTGTTCTACTTTATGTTTTTAATATTTGTTAAATATTAATTTTTGAAGTTAACTAAATGTTACTTTTATTAAATTGAGACCTGTAACATTTGTTAACATAATGTTATTTTTAAGATGTAAATTGAGGGAGCAAAATGTATCGGCTCCAATTATCGGCTCAAGAAAATCGGCGGCCCGTATCGGTCATCGGCTAAGGCTGATGGGAAAAAAATCGGTATCGGTATCGGCACTAAAAAATCCATATCGGTCGATCCCTAGTATTGACAAACTCTAGAGGAGTCAAATGTGAGATTAAAGCTGCTCAGGGGAAACACTCGAGAAGCAGGAGACTTCTCAATGAGATTAAAGAGATCGGTTTCAAGGCGAGCATGTCTAAAAAAAGCGAGGACACGTTTGATGAACGTCGAGACATCTGAACCCGGGACTGAAGTGAGACACACGAGCCGGAAGGAAAACACACAGTTATTGGAGTTCAGTTACAAGGAAAAGCTTTATCAACTGTCAGCCACATGAACAAATCAATAAGCAAGAGATGATTCACCATCTCCTGAACTGTGTGTGTGTGTGTGTGTGTGTGGGCGGTTTAAAGATATTGCATCCAGATGACTAGTTTCTCATAAACACTGAGTAATCAACTCAACATGTTTTTGGTAATTCTGATCATGAGTTAGGTTCACATTGTCAACAAATGAAGGAAACGTTGCATTTCAACCTTTGCATGACCCTGAAGAACATACAATACATATTACAAAGCAAAAAAAAAAATGTTTTGAATAAATATAAATTGTGCTTTTATGCATTTATTATATATATATATATATATATATATATATATATATATATTAGGGCTGTGCAAAAATTAATTGCGATTAATCGCATCCAAAATAAAAGTCTGTGTTTACATAATATATTTGTGTGTGCTGTATATAATTATTTTGTATATATAAATACCTATGCATGCATGTATATATTTAAGAAAATGTGTTATTCATATATAAAATATTTATATATATATAATTTAGATTATGTATATATATATATATATATATACAGAATTTAAGTGCAAATAATTCTTAAATATATACATGAATGCATAGGTATTTATATAGTATATATTTAAGAAAATTTGTATTCATATATAAAATATTTATATATTATATAGATTATGTATTTATATATATGCATGCATATTTATATATACAAAATAATTATACACAGCACACACACATATATTATGTAAACACAAACTTTTTTTTTGGATGCGATTAATCGCAATTAACCATTGCACAGCCCTAATTTTTATTAAATAGATAAATAAAATCGTCAACCTTCCCTTAGGTAATCCCGTTCCATAAGCTCAACCACTTTTCCTCTTTATGACGCATTTTAGATCACTTTTAGATCATTTTCCACTACACACACGTCTACGCTCACTAACACTCATCCGTCACACACACTCTCAGTGTAAAGTTGTCGTCCCGACGCTGTTGATAAAGAGTGTGAATGAGGTGAACAGATGGAGACGGGCATCAGCTGTTCGAGTATGAGATCCGGGTCACGGCACCAGATCCACAGATGGGCTCCTCGAACATCTCCCATAAACCCTAGCAGCAATAACACCACAATTATGGAGTTTCTTTGATGTGGACGAACTATAACAACCAAGAACAGGCTTCTGCGCTCCTTTATGAGCTCTGACATCGGACCCTAATGGATGACAGATGCATCTACGGAAATGCCAAACCACATGTGGATTCCCTCGCGCCCTTTCCCTACGGCTCTCAGCGGACACAATTATACACACACACTCTCCAAATAATCAATACTGTTAGCGGATAATCAAATCTACATGTGAATGGCATGGCGTAGGCGCTCTATTGACCATGTGTCCAGATTAAAGGATCAGTGTGATTTTAACACACTTCAGTCACACTTCATAATACGTTGGTCAGACAGCCGGCAAATTTTAATAGATGGTTCACACTTTCACATGAACCAGTTTTCATCCATATGTCACACGTTATGGACCGGGACGCAACGCAAAGGTCAACTTTGGCTACACAAACACCTGCTAATCAAGCTGTTAGCCTTTCAGCTCGGCTGGCTCTGTGAGGATGGAGTGAAACCTGAACACTGTGTTTCAGCGCACGCCCGATCCGATCACAGCGTTACTCAGATGCTTGTTAGCTGGCAAAATGCTTCGTGTGACCACAAAAGTCTTGGCCGAAAATGGCACCGAAAAGAGTATGAAATCCAGTTATTCAAGACTAAACTAATGCCAAAATGATCAGTGGTACATGTGAATAAAATGCCATTAGCTAATATGCAACAATCACTATTTACTAATTAAAGGGTGTTTGTTATGGAAGTATGACATTTTTGATTTGGTAAAAATTTCAGTTCTTTTTGAATACTAGCCAAAATATGCAAACTTGTGATTATGAATGCTCGAAATTAAATGTTTAGTTCTCGCTCCCCAAACCAAGATCTATTAGGATCTAATTTGAACATTAACTATAATTCATGAGGCTGGGGTCAGTTTGCAGAAATTAATACTTTTATTTCAGAATACATACAGTTTCAAGTATACACACATTGTAATT